CTGGCCAGAGTGAGAACATATAGCTGGCTGCCACGAATAGACAGGAAAATTCTATTGGCCAGCGTGAGAGCCAACAGCTGACTGACACGCATGCAAAAATAATCGATAGCTGCATTCGTCACAAGTGGGAAAAATTTTAATCTGCATGGCACTTACGTCAAATTGGCTCACTCGCTTGCTTAAACTCAACGTTGATTCTGATTCCGCAGAACTGGGTTGGGTGTGAAAAAGTATTTGTTGTTAACATTCTTTTTTCATTCGGTTTTTCCAGTTACAAGTCCTTTTTTTTAAGCTGATCGTTTTGTGTTCATTTTGTTTATTTCTTTTTCGTAACAGATTTAATGTTTAGTATAGAGCATAGAAAAAATTCGCAGTGTGAGATAGGCAAGAAGTAAGGCATGTAGCAACATCAGCACGGCAAAGGGCACTCCTTTAAAGGCAAGCAAGGGCAAAAATATTTTAAGTCAAGTGATAGCGATTGCTGTATGAGTCGTATGATTTTTGAATCAAGCACGGGCAACGCCAGGCCATGCTGCTTCTCAGGATATATAAAGTCCACATCTAAGAAATGTAATTCTATGTTTTACCAAAAGATGACAGCAGCACTGTAGCCGCTCTCTAGCAGTATGACCCTCACTTTGGCTTTTTCCAGCAAATTTCTAAAATCACTGCCCTTGAACCAGACCTAGCTCATGTACTGCAGTCCAGATCTCCGTATCACCCTTCATATTAGTTCAGGAAAGTTATTTGTTTATTTGTATATCATCTGAGATGAATAAATTCTAAAATCTTAGTGAATTAAATGTTTTGTGTTGGTCAAAATCAGTTATAAATATATTTGGACACTTGGACTTGTATCACTTTATTTTCTACTTCTTAGTAAGATGAATGTTAGTGTTATGTTCCTGTTCATGTGTTTTTAACTTAAAAGTTGACAGACAATCATTAATTACCAGTAATATGTTTAAGATCAACTTGAGATATATTATAGCTTCCCGGAAGTTCTTTTTTAATCAGACATATTTTACTTTATCTTATATAGGCTGAGTGATTTTGGTAAGACCTGTTTAAATTTATTTGTCATCTATGTAAACAAATAAAATGACAGCATGACATACCATTGCCATTTGCAATAAAATTTTCACAAGATATCAACACGGAGGCCTACATCATTTGCATTTAATTTTAATGGTTCAATGAATGCCAAACAGTATGGTTGGCACTCACGTATATTTACCTCATCGAATTTGGCCCAAAGTTTGACCACCCCTGTTTTATATAACATTGGGCAGTCGTGGTCAAACAAGGTCCATGTGAACACGGGGGAGGGGATGTAACATTACTGGAGGTCCACACAAAAAATAGCAAATTGGGGGTCCACAGTAATATTTTAGTGGTCCACAGAGAAATTTCACTTCGGAACGGTTGTTACAACTGAGAATTGGGATTTCTGCAGTAATCAACGCCATATTAAAATACCAAAAATAGAAAGAAAAAAACAACTCTAAAACTTGTAGAAAACGAGATCAAACGATGTAAGTTATAGCGTCCCTTTTACTCTAACGGATGTTTTGATTGTAAAAGTTGAATAAAAACTGAGGATATATAAAGGAAGGATTATATAAATAAAGGAAAATTATATAAAGATTATAATTTATTATATAAATTAATTTAATATATTAACAATAAATAATATTAATTTTAAACATTAATAAAATAAAATATGAATATATTAATATAAATTAATTATGAAAAGGGGTAGACATCTTTTACATCTATAAAACAAAAAAAAAAACTCGCAGAGCAGCATCACCCACAGGGATCTCATTGAATAAATCTGTACTTTTTTCAATTTATTAATTACACACATATTTTGAAATGGTTTATTATGTGTTATTTAACTAGTGTAAATTAATGTTCCATAGAATTTAGTTGACGCACAGGCAATGTTTATTGTCATCAAATCAAAAGCATATACATTTACTATTAATACAATTCCTAAACTTATCTATTAGTAAAAAATAAAGTAAGCTTCTTTTTTTGTTTTCATTGAATGGTTATGGGTTCATCAAAAAAAAATGAGTAAAAAAAGGCTGAGAGCCACTGAGATAGAGGAATGATGAAACGTATAATGGCGATGATAATCAAAGGGACACATAAACCAATAAAAACATTTTAAAATGCCAAAAATGGAATCATCAGGACGCTAAGCAGGAAAAAGAAGTAAAAGTTAAAAAGTCATTTTTGTCAGTCAAGCAGAATAAGGAGGGAAAACGTCAGAAATGGATTCATCAGTAGAATAGGTAAAGATTTGGAAATCAGAATCAGCATTTAAGAAAAGAACAAAAGTCGCACAGGCAATATCGATTGTAACATTTCTTTTACTAAATTTCACAATACAAGACGCGAGAGCCACTCTTAGTAGAGGATTGGATTTGTTTGGTTTGTTTTACGGCATATCAACCTTTTCTAGATTCTTTAATGCCGAATTTGATAAGCCATAGATAGGAAGACATGGGTTGCGCACACGTTAAAACGTACGTGAGTCAAAAATGTAGATATGAGACGAAAAGATAGACATCGGTCCTGTTTGCGCCCGAGACGAAAACGTAGACACCAGTACGGTTTGCATGAGAGTCGAAAAGGTAAACATCGGCCTGGGTTGCATGAGAGTCGAAACGGTAAACATCGGCCTGGGTTGCATGAGAGTCGAAACGGTAAACATCTGCCTGGGTTGCATGAGAGTCGAAACGGTAAACATCGGCCTGGGTTGCATGAGAGTCGAAAAGGTAAACATGGGAGCGGTTTGAACGAGAGTTAGACATAGGGAATACACGTTGCCCCTATTTTAGGGGTAACTCCCTCGTGGTAGAGAACTGAAGTCAAAATGATGAATGAAGTGTGGGATTTGAATGGAAGAGAAGATGATAGAAAATTATGATTATGAGTTTAAGGTAGGAAGATAACTATTAACACTTGACTTGAAATCGTTAGGATTTTACTGTTCATGGAATTACCCAAGCGGGAGTCAGATGCACTAATTACCAGTTCTTTGGAAAAAAATACATAAATTGAACTTTCTTCTTACATTTGGATCTCCGTGTAAATGGCACGTGATGATTTTTATACTAAATTTCACCCAATACATGGTTCCAGATTCACTTTAACTTAAATGGTTATTGTTAAAGTAGTCATGCTGCACGATATCTGATATGGATGAAAGTATAAGTGGTAGAAATATGTAGAGGAAAGGCGGGCGAAAAAATAATCTTCAAACACAGCTCTATAAATTTAAATAAGATTATTATTGAGTATAAAAGTAATTTTGTTTTCTTTCAAGTTGAAAGAAACGAGTTACAAATTTCTTGCAAAGTTCAATGAAAAATATTTTATGTTTCCTTTTTACAACACAACAGAAACAAATTGAGTTATTATAATTGAAAAGCGGTATGCGACTACATAACGGGAGTATTTGCGTTGTTTTATGTATGCGTGTAATTTTCCAGCAGGCAACAATCAGCTCTATATTGTTACGACTGCTAATATTCGCTTGCTTACATATCTTCATTCGTATGTTTTTCGTAATGTCTAATTTACTTTAAAAATGCGGGAGAGTATTGCAAGAATACTTAAACTCAATAATTATACGAAGGGTGAGCAATCAGCATTGCATGCAAAATATTCCTGGTCAAAGGTTTACCGAAAAATGAAAAAAATGATTTTGTTAATTTACGCAATGATATTTATAAGAATAATGGGATCAAGAAAACTAAAAGTTAGATTTACTAAAGTCGGCAATTTATTTGTTAATAAATATATGATAATGCGATACTGTGCGTCATTACACCAATTGTGATGGCCTTCAATGGTTGGCTGTATGCGAATACCCCTGCACTCGCTATGTTTCCCAGATTCGTCTCAATAATTAAGGGTGTGATTACCGTTAAAAACAATAGAGACAAATGATTTTCAAGACACTTGTTGGGTCGGGAAGTAGCAAAAACATATGATTTCTCACTGAATCACCAATGTCTTCCTTCTGCTACGAGAAAGTGAACATTTTCTATCTGACATCTCACTAAGTTCCGGCCATAGAAAACGAACCCCTACACACTCATTGCCTAGCCGTTTCAGTGATGAAATATACTAATACTTGTAGGTACTCTTCTCAGTTGAAATTGAAAAATCAAATTAACTTCTCCACACGTGTTTCGCACGAACAATTTGCAAAAATAAAGGCCATAACAGTGGAGAGCTACGCTTTGCTCAAATAATGCAACTTTTTATTGTATTCTTGCTAATCTTCCGTACGTTTGAATTACAGCCGATTTTTATCGTTTGAGATAACGTCGCTGATTTGTCAATAAATGCTAATGTGGAAATTGAATATGGAGCCTAAGTTTTATACAAAAATAAGTCGGTTTATGCGTGACCCACTGTTCGCACAGAATTGAGATTTTTAGTCGCATTATCTACTGAATTTTTTCTACAATTTTAAACGAGGTTCCACTAAGATTATGACGATGAGGAAGATAGAGGAAGATAGATAACGATTGACTCTTGACTTGAAGAGGCTAAGCATTCACAGGCAAGCGGGTGTGTTCCACTAAGTAGAAGTTCTTGTTGCGGGGAGCTGTTTGAATTGAATTGTTTCTTACATTTGGATCATGGAAAAATGAGGGTGATTTAACTCCGTGGAAGTGGCATGGTGTGCCCTAGCAGCAAAGTCCTGATTTATTGATTCGTTTTCTACGGTTTATCAACACCTTGCTGGTTATTTAAAGCCAGAAATTATTTTTATATTGTAATATAATAATGACTTAGTGATACAAGTCTTAACTAATTAACCCATAGCTGAGGGGAGAAAAGGTGGATTCATGCCTTTCTCAAGGGGATTTGCGCGTAAGTGAATATAACGAGCCCATCTGGAATTGGAACACGGATCTCCGATTAACAATTCCGAGCCATTATCCATTACACCACCCGCACATATAAACTTACAGACCCCAGTATTCCTAAGTGGTCACCCATCTAGCTATTGACCAGGCTCGATATTGCTTAACTTCGCTGATCTACGGGTACCGGTGTTTCAACGTGATGTGGCTGTAAACCCTGCAAAGTTCTGAATTGATAGAATTAAGTGCTCATCTAAACATTCGCCATTGAAATATCAATAGAGTAGCGGCTGCAGGGATAGGGGCTGCAGGATTGAAAATAAATCTAAGCAGCAGAAATGTGGTTCTACAGGAGGATGCTGAGGATACCATGTGCCGAAAATTTAAGCAACGGCGCATTTTTAGAGCAAATGGAAACAAAAAGGAAGCTTATTCTTAACATCAGAAAGAGACAGTTTAAATTTCTAGAGCACATAGAGGAAAAGAGGCTTGAAAAATCTGATACTCACAAGACAGATTGAAGGCAAGAGGGACAGAGGAAAACAACGCTTAAAGCATTTAGTGAGCTTGAGTAAATGGATGGCGGAACATGGTTTAAAAGAAATAACATAAAGACAAAATTTATTGATTGCTACGAAAGACAGGATATTGTAGAGCGCCATGATCGCCTACGTCATGAAGGGACACGGCACACGAAGAAGAAGTTATCTGACTCTGACCAACTGGGTATATACTCGAGAGGTATACACACTGTGCGTGTTTCTGATCATGGACGGAGTAGAGAAGTATCGTGCATGTGTGACGTAAGTTTTTTTTTTTTTTTATGAGACAGTCAGAGGTTCATTCTTAGATATTTAGAAATTCTATCAATCGAAGACCGTCTGAGCGGTTATCCGACCAGGGGCTAATACTGTCTACGCATCGTCTGCAAGGTCATGTGCTGCTTTTATCAAAGCCTGTCATCATATATCGCACAGTTAACTGTAATTCATGTGTCTAGTATAAGCTTATCAGACTGGATGCCATGATGGGTACAGTGGGTTTCGTATATTCGTATCCCAGTGTCACTTTGTTGACGTGCCGCTCCTTCACTTAACGATGATGATGATGGTGCAGTAGTGATGATGATGATGATGATGATGATGATGATGATGATGATGATGATGATGATGATGATGAATTCGAAGTCTTTAAAAGTATACTTGTGAAATTTTATATAGCACCTCCCATGTACTGTCTGCGATTTTTCAGGGGGAGACCAAGATGTGTTGCGAAGGGAAATATTGCGCGTCGCATAATAGTGCTTTAGAAAGAAAGAAAGAAAGAAAGAAAGAAAGAAAGAAAGAAAGAAAGAAAGAAAGAAAGAAAGAAAGAAATCAAAAGTCGTAGAATGATAGAGAAAAAAAAGAGGGGGGAAAAACAGAAAGAAAGAATCGAATAAAACAAATAAATAAAGGAAGAGAGAGAAAAAAAAAAAAAAAACGAAATTACCAAGAGCTTCAGTTCTCCCAAACTGTCTATTTGCTCACATATCTGCTTTGGCTGTGAAAAAAGAAAGAAAGAAAGAAAGAAAGAAAGAAAGAAAGAAAGAAAGAAAGAAAGAAAGAAAGAAAGAAAGAAAGAAAGAAAGAAATCAAAAGTCGTAAAATGATAAAAAAAAAAAGAGGGGGGAAAAACAGAAAGAAAGAATCGAATAAAACAAATAAATAAAGGAAGAGAGAGAAAAAAAAAAAAAAACGAAATTACCAAGAGCTTCAGTTCTCCCAAACTGTCTATTTGCTCACATATCTGCTTTGGCTGTGAAAAAAGAAAGAAAGAAAGAAAGAATTATCAACAGTTTCTTTTTTCTTTCTTTTCACGGCCAAATACAGTGTTTAGCGGACATGAAACTGTTGATTAGAATGTATTATTCCAATGTCTTATTTCAAACTAAGTCAATCTGTGTGTGTGTGTGTGTGTGTGTGAGAGAGTGTGTGTTTGCAAGTATATTAAATGACACAAGCAGTCACGCACAACACAGACATATGCATAGACATGCATTAAATAGTCGCCTGTAAAATCACGCGCGGACACTGTGTGACAGAAAAAAGTATCCACTCTTCTACATCGAATGACTGTCAGCGTTTTTGTGATAAAAAATCAATTGTAATTTAAAATTTAAAATATAAGATAAATATTAATAAGCAAGAGAAATAACAAATAAACCCTGAATAAAAACAGAGAAATGGCTTTACGAACAAATTCGATAATATTGTTCCTCTACTTTTAAGGATGTGTAGGTCAAGGGCTCCCCATAAGGCCCTAAGTTTTGTAGCTCTTAGCAATGTTTTTTCCACTCTCCGTTCTGTCATCCATTTAAAGAATGGTGCGTGGGTGTTATAATGAATAGCGACCCGGAATGAGAGATCAGAAGAATTCAAATTCCAGTCGGGTTCCTTACATTCACTTACGCACGAATACCTTCGGGAAATGTATAAATCCATATCTCCCTACCCATCACTTATGATCGATTTGATTATTTTGTTTTCTGTGGATTACCAACCCTTTGCGGGTTATTTAAAGCCAGAAAATATTTTTAGATTTTAATAATTAAAAAAAAAATAATTTACTGATACACGTTTTACTAATTAACTCGTAGCTAGAGGAAAAAGAGATGGAGACATACCTTTCCCAAGGATATTTGCGCATAAGTGAATTTAATGAACCCAACTGGAATTGAAACGCGGCTCTCCGATTAACAATTCCGAGCAATTATCCATTACAACAGGGGTTGGCAACCTACGGCACGCGTGCCACACGTGTCACGTCAAGCAATTTCAGATGGCACGCAGGCGCAAATGACATCACGAAGTCCGAACCAATAAGTTCTACAATGCAATGAAGATATTTAGCTGTTTCAATTTTAATATATACTAAAGTGTATATGCTATAGATTACTATATAAAATAATTTGTAGAACAGGTATATTTAACTTGACTTGTATAAAAATACGTATGCTGTTGGCACACTGAATGATTTTAAAACCCTAAGTTGGCACATAGTCAGCAAAACGTTGCCAACCCCTGAACTAGGCAACATGGATGTCAAAAACTAAGCAGTTACAGTAATTTAAATGTGTAGAGTAACAACAGACAAGAGAAAATCTGACAGAGAAATCAAAACGAGTATGGAACATCAAAAGATCTTTCAGAAAATTTTTAAAAACAGTTTCTTTCTATTAATGCGCTTTACATATTTTTTTATATATTACTATATAAAATATATTATAGAAGAGATATGTTGACCTTGACTTGTATAAAAATACGTATGCTGTTGACACACTGAATGATTTTAAAGCCCTAAGTCGGCACATAGTAAAAGGTTGACGACCCGTGCATTATACCACCCGTACATTCAAATTTATAGCACCTGGTATTCTCAAGCAGCCACCCTTCAGGGTACTGACCAGGCACAACGATGCTTAACGTCATTGATTGTCCCCGGCCATGTCTTAATTAGTAGAACTTCTATTTGGAAAATTAGTAAGGTTCTCAAAAAATTGTTAACGCAATATTTACTCCCAAACAAAACCAAAAAGCGTAATTTACATGTGGCACAAGGCCGGAAGTATGGAGCACCCAGTGATGATCGAACTCACTACTCAGTCGTAATTGTTCTAGCGTTACAAGCTTACTAATCATTAAGACTACGTCGAAGCGCCCCTTACAAAATAAGTTCCGACATTAAATCGCCCACAAAGGATTTAGTGCCCTGTCGACTGGGACGTCAAAATACGCCAGGTGCACATTTGCAGAGGAGTAAGACTCCTCCTCCAATGAGGTTTCCTGGGTATGACGATAAACTACGTCCGGAAGCAAGACCTCTGTTCAGGCGGTTTTGAGGAGTGTGAAACCACCTCTTAATTGCTGGTGTTTCCAGGCCCATCCTGACCTAGGGTGGTAGCACCTGTTAGGGTATGGGCAAATAGTTAACCCCAAAACTGAAGTCAAAACACTATCAAAGTGTAAAATAGGTTTTAATACCAGTAATACAGTTTTGAAAAAATATTACCAGCAATACATTTTTTTTTTAAATATTACCATCAATAAAAATCTTGTCGGCATTAAATAACCCATTGAGGTTGATATGCCGTAAACCAAACCAAACCAAACAAAGGGTTGAGAAGTCGTAAAAAACAGATCAATCTACTTTTTACCGAAGTTCGTTGGGCTTACTCGATGTTTCCCTCTGCACTTCCTGTCTTCAACATATCCTATGAGTGTTAAAGTTTCCAAGCCGTCTTTCTGCATCATGTATGCTAATATGCATATTGACGAATGTGCCGCGTTCTGATTCTATATTGGTATGGGTCTATGATTTTGAGGGGCCAACTTCTTTATCTGGTAGTGGCAAAAGGAGACTCTCTGAATATATATATATATATATATATATATATATATATATATATATATATATATATATATATAGTTTTAAACAACTATATTTATGGGATAAAGTGCTCACTATCAGAGATAGAGCGTATGTAAATATAAATATAAAAGTGAACATTGAAGTCCACGCAGAAGCGACAGGCTGATTCATGCTGGACGAAAAATTCTTTTATTTGCTGTTTCCTTTCAGGTTTTGGGCGATCGTGCTCCTCCACAACATCCTCTTTGTAGCACTAAATAATATTTGTCTCCTTTATTATTACTCCTAGTTCATGATCTACTATCATTTTACACAAGTTCGTTAGGTATGTTGCGTGATGCTTCACTCTGACCCCTATTGCCGTCAATAAGTCCTGTGAGTATCTAATTCTCCAAACCCTCTTTCTTTATGTGTCCGAGAAATTTCAACTCCCTTTCTGCTTCTAAGAATAAATGTCCGTTCTGTCATCATTTTAAAGAATGGTGTGTGGGTGTTATAATGAATAGCGACCCGGAATGAGAGATCAGATAGACTTCCATGCACATGGTTCTCCACAATCTCCTATCCATGTATCTCTTAGCAAAATTTGTCCCTTTGCCAAGCCTCTCGCCCTCCATTCCACCATCCATACAGACAACCTCATCAGTAGGTGATCTGCTGCCTTAGTCTGTCCCTCTTGCCTTCAATAGGCTATGTGAGTGTCAAATTTTCCAAGCTTTCCTGCCTCATTCTATACCCTAGAAATTTCAGATATCTCTTCTTGATTCTGAGTATAAGTGTCCATTTTGTTTTCATTTTCTTTAAAATTTCATCGTTGCTAATATGTTCAGTCCATGGTGTTTTCAACGTTTTTCTTTTCTGTTTCTCCAAGTCTCTTGACTAATGAAATATTATTTTCAATATTCCTGTCTCTACATGTTGTATTCTTTCAGGATGTGGGTGATCACGGTCCTCCACAATCTCCTATCACTTGTAGCCCTACGTTCTGCAATCCATACAAACAATCTCATGTTAGAAGGCATGCTAACTTACCCTCTCCCTGTAAGTATTAAATTTTCCAAACCTTCCTTCTTCATTCTATGCCCTAGAAATTCCAGTTATCTCTTCTTGTTTCTATGCGTCCTTTTTACATCCATTTTCCTTACACGCTCTAACCACGGAATTCTCAGCATCCTTCTGTAGAAACACATTTATATTGCCGCCTTTTTTCTCTTCATCTGTGAGTATCAAATTTTCCAAGCCTTCTTTCCGAATTATGTGCTCTATCTCTTTCTGGTGTTAAACGTAAATGTCTTTTTTGTTTCCATTTTCCTTAAGACTTCCTCGTTGCTTACACGCTCTATCCATGGAATTCTCAGCATCCTTCTGTAGAAACATATTTATATTGTCGCCTTTTTTTCTCTCCATCTGTGAGGCGAATTTCCAGCATTTACTACCATACAGGAGGAATGATATTACATAATAACTCAGCACTATTTTCTTTGTTTCTAATAAAAATGTTCCTGTTTCTTAATAATTTGCATAGCTGTCGTTACCAAAGAACGGTTCGTTAACGAAAAATTATGTCAAATAGCCAAGAATGAGAGGGTGTGTGTAAGATAGAGAGAAAAGACCGTTGATTGTTTATGTAAGGGAGGGGGAGAAAAATTAATGGATTAATGCGAGAGATAGTGAGAGAAGGCGTGAATTTGCAAGGAAAATATAGGGGGTAGGACATGTAACGGAAAAAGAAATGTAAGTAAATTCAAAGACGAGAAAACTTAATACGAGTGATGATAATAGTGAATAGTGGCAGTTGATTCGACGTATCAACTAGACAGTCAGGCGAACAGACAGCCAGAAAGGCAGACACCCAACATCCGTTACCCAGTTTTTGTGGTGTGTTTATTTTTTTATTTATTTTTTTATTTTTTTGGTTGGGGAGGGGGTATTGTTTTGTTATTTTTGCTTTTCAAATATATATATTTACACGTTCTTTTCCCTTTTTCTCGTTCTCTTTATTTGGTTATCTCTCTCTCTCTCTCTCTCTCTCTCTCTCTCTCTCTCTCTCTCTCTCTCTCTCTAAATGTATAATTAGCCTATCATTGCAAAAAGTCCGTGCCCGATTTTCATTGTTTTTAATTTTGTAAACAGGCACGAAATTTTGCAATGATCTGACACTCACACACATACACACACACCGTGACAGTCACACACACACGAACCCTGACACTCACTCTCACACACACACTCACACAAAAACACTAGAAATGTCTCGTTCATTCTTTCTATGTAAGTATTTTTTTTTAATAAAAGTTCCACCAATACAAAATCTAAGAGCCGCTCAAGGTAGAGGGTTACAGATTAAGGTTGTTTTATGGACATAGGAGGAAGTATG